GCAAAAAAATACTATTGTTAAAAAAAAATTTTGAATAGAGAATATCAGGTTGTTTTGTTTAATTAGATAAGGATTTTGAATAGGAAATATTATGTTGTTTAATTAAATAAGGATTTTGAATATAATTAACAAACATAGATATATTTGGTAGATAAGATAAAGTAATTGAAGTAAATCTCTTGATTCTTATCAAATTAAGCATTCAGTTACGATTCTTGTGCTGAAAAAAATACATATAAATTCAGCACCACTTAATAAGTTCAGCAGGTGAATTTTTATTTATCAAACACCCACAATATCTGAATGTCTGAATGAATTCAGTTTCAACACTTTTTTATGTTATCAAACAGGCACTTAGTTTTATAAGAAATATCAAATGTATCTTTTTTTTTTCTTTCTTGCATCACTTTCATTGGAGTTAATTTGCTCATTTGACATTTTGCGCGCAGCTATACTCATTCTTCTGTATAGACCCATAATTAGCTTATAAAAGTTGTAAAAATCTTTTTCTAATGTAAGATCTAAGGTCATAACATAGACTGGTATATTTGCACATTCAACCTACTTTTAACAATTTATAATTTTGAAATCTGTTACTTTCTTAAATTTGAGCTTAATAGATTAGAGAGCTTATATATGTTTTTTTCCTTGTTCCAAATATTAAAAGGTTATTCTACAATTAGTCTTGAATTGATATAGTTGTGCATCACTTTCATTGTAATGTTTCATTTTAACAACTACTGCACAAATGATATATTATATAGAATAGGAAAAGAGGTTATTATGAAAATAATGAAAATGTAAAATCACAGTATGCTGATACTCAAATACATAATGGAGACCAGCCATAGGTGGATAAATAGTTTTGCTTTGGGACATTTTGGGTGTTCCATTTATTGCACCATGATATAAGTACAATGAAGAGGGTGTTATAAAACTAATAAAATGAAGATACTACAATAGGAATTGAAAAAGTATTAGAGAAAGGAGTAGAGAAAGGGAGAATAATATCCTTATATTTCAACAATATACAAAAGTACCCACAAAGGGTTTCAATGTACCTCTATATATAGGCACTACAAGATTAAAGGTACATAAATCTTATTAATCATCCACTACTACAATAATATGAAGAAACCTATGAAACGGTTTCTCCACTACATGAATGGATTTATGAATTGTAACTTATATACATAAGTAGCCATAAAATCATGAATTAATCCCCTTGGGAATACAAAGGGACATCCACATTTTTGTTATTTCATAACACTCCCCCTTGGATGTCCATTACACAAAGAATATGCCTCGTTAAAACCTTACTAGGGAAAAATCCAGTGGGATCAAAAACCCTAGTGAAGGAAAAAGAGTACACTATTCTTGTGTAATAATTTCTCCCCCTAATGCAAACGTCATTTGAGATCTTTTAATCGTTGCATTCCAATACTCTTCACCAATTTCTCAAATGTCGCAGTTGGTAATGCCTTGGTAAATAAATCGGCCAGATTATTATCTGATCGGATTTGTTGCACATCAATTTCACTATTCTTTTGCAAATCATGAGTAAAAAAGAATTTTGGTGAAATATATTTCGTCCTATCTCCTTTAATATATCCTCCTTTCAATTGAGCTATACAAGCTGCATTATTTTCATATAATATAGTTGGAGAATTTTCTTTTCCGGAGGATAACCCACAATTCTTCCGGATATAGTGGATCATTGATCTTAACCAAACACATTTTCGACTGGTTTCATGAATTGTTATTATTTCAGCATGATTCGATGAAGTGGCGGCTAGTGATTGCTTTGTAGATCGCCAAGAAATGGCTGTGCCTCCATATGTAAATAAATAACCAGTCTGAGACCTTGCTTTATGCGGGTCGGATAAATACCCAGCATCAGTATAACCAACCAATTCAGGTTTGAATTTATTTGAATAAAATAAACCAAGATCTATTGTTCCTTGGAGATAGCGAAAAATATGTTTAATACCATTCCAATGTCGTCTTGTGGGCGAGGAACTAAATCTTGCTAATAAATTTACTGCAAATGATATATCAGGTCTTGTACAATTAGCAAGATACATTAGTGCACCAATTGCACTGAGATATGGTATTTCAAGACCAAGCATCTCTTCATTTTCCTCTCGTGGTCCAAAAGAATCCTTATTAGGATCTAATGATCTGACAACCATTGGGGTACTCAATGTATGTGCTTTGTCCATATAAAATCGCTTTAATACCTTCCAGGTATAAGCAGTTTGGTGGACAAAAATTTCACCTTTCAAATGCTCAATTTGTAAACCAAGGCAGAATTTTGTCTTTCCAAAATCTTTAATCTCAAATTCTTTCTTCAAATATTCAACACTATTTTGAATCTCTTCAGGACTTCCAATTAAATTTAGATCATCAACATATACCGCAATTATCACAAAATTTGATCCATTTTTCTTGATAAAAACACATGGACATATTGGATCATTGGTATAACTTTCTTTTGTCAGACATTCATTGAGACGGTTATACCACATACGTCCAGATTGTTTGAATCCATACAGAGACCTTTGTAATTTAATAGAATAAATATTTTTAGGATTTGATTTGCATGCTTCAGGCATGTTGAATCTTTCAGGAATTCTCATATAAATATCATTTTCAAAATTTCCATATAAATATGCAGTAACGACGTCCATTAGACGCATATCTAATTTTTCATGTACTGCAAAACTCACAAGATATCTAAATGTGATAGCATCCATTATAGGTGAATACGTTTCATCATAATTAAATCCAGACCTTTGTGAAAATCCTTGGGCTACAAGTCTTGCTTTATATCTCACAATTTCATTTTTCTCATTTTTTTTCTCACAAATACCCGTTTATATCCTACTGACTTTACACCTTCAGGTGTTTGGACTACAGGTCCAAAAACTTTTCTTTTAGCCAGTGAGTCCAATTTAGATTGGATCGCATCTTTCCATTTTGGTCAATCATTTCTACCTCGACATTCATCAACCGATCCAAGCTCATGATCCTCGTCCTCTGCCATAATATCAAGTGCTATATTATATGCGAAAATATTATCAATAATTATTTCTTTTCGGTTCCAACTTTTTCTTGAAGTGACAAAATTTATTGAATTTTTTATAATTTCATTCTCTTCAAGAATTGGCTCTTTAGGAGCGACCTCTTCAGGAGGTTGAATTTTGTCACTAATTGTTGATTCATCTACTCCTCTTTTCTTTCGAGGATTTTTATCTTTGGAACCAAGAGGTCTCCCACGCTTCGACGTACTTTAGACTCATTAGCACTTGTGATTTGTCCTTCAGGGACATCAATTTTAATCGGAGCATTTTCAGCAGGAATATGTGATTTAGTAACTCTTTTGGAGTCATTAAATGCATCCAGTAATTGATTTGCAATTTTTTGCAAATGTATAATCCTTTGAACTTCTAATTCACATTCTTTAGTACGAGAATCAAGGAAATTCAATGATATTTTCCAAGTGATTTCCTTTTTCGGTTGATTTTTATCTCCCCCTAATGTCGGAAAATGTGATTCGTCAAAATGGCAATCTGCAAATCTCGCAGTAAATAAATCACCTGTTAATGGTTCCATATACTTAATGATTGAAGGTGATTCATATCCGACATATATCCCCAATCTTCTTTGTGGGCCCAATTTACGACGTTGGGGCGGTGCAATTGGAACATACACCGCACAACCAAATATTCGTAAATGAGAAATATTTGGCTCATAACCAAAAGTTAATTGTAGGGGAGAATAAGTGTGATAATTTGTCGGTCTAATTCTCACAAGTATTGCTGCATGTAAAATAGCATGTCCCCAAGCAGATGAAGGAAGTTTAGACCTTATCAACAATGGTCTAGCAATTAATTGTAGCCGTTTAATAAGTGATTCGGCTAGACCATTTTGTGTGTGAACATAGGCTACAGGATGTTCAACAGTTATTCCAATGGACATACAATAATCGTCAAAAGCATGTGACGAATATTCACCAGCATTATCTAGACGAATTTTCTTTATTGGAAAATCTGGAAATTGTGCTCGCAATTTAATTATTTGAGCAAGCAATCTCGCAAATGCCAAGTTGCGAGTAGATAATAAACATACATGTGACCATCTAGTTGATGCATTAATTAGCACCATAAAATATCGAAATGGTCCACATGGTGGATCTACAGGCCCACATATATCACCATGAATTCGTTCTAGAAATGCAGGGGATTCAGTCCCAACTTTAACTTGTGATGGTCTAATAATTAATTTCCCTTGAGAACAAGCAACACAAGAGAATTCATTGGCTTTTAATACTTTTTTATTTTTCAATGAGTGGCCATGTGAATTCTCAATTATTCGTCTCATCATTATAGATCCAGGATGTCTGAGACGATCATGCCAAATCATAAAATCATCGGGATGAGTAGACTTCTGGTCTACTAGGTGATGAATTTCAATTGCACTAATTTGTGCATAATATAACCCAGAAGAAAAAGAAGATAATTTTTCTACTTCGCATTTTTTTCCATAAATGATACTTGTGACTAATAAAAATTCACGATTTGTCTCAGTCATTGTCTCGATATGATATCCATTTTCGCGGATATCTTTAAAACTCAATAAGTTTCTTCGAGACTTGGGAGAGAATAGTGCTTATTTACAATAATTTTAGTCCCTTCAGGGAGAAATATAGTGGCTCTTCCGGAGCCTTCAATCAATTTTGCACTACCACTAATGGTATTAACATTTGTCTCTCCCATTTTCAAATAAGAAAAATATTTTTTATTTTTCAATATGGTGTGCGTAGTAGCACTATCAATGAGACAAATATCATCATCACCATTATTTAATCCCAAATATTTGACATCCATTTCTTCTTCAGAAAGAAATTTTCAAACAAAAATAAATATTAATAAAGATGCGAAAATAAATATTCAATGGAAAGGAAATTACATGAAAGATATAAAGTATCATAAAAATATCTAAATAATCATGGAATATTTGTTGACATCTTCAGGATGTTCAAAAAAATCAGCAACATCGAGGTGTGTCATGTCAGCATCATCACCATCATCATAGTCATTCTTTTGATCAATGAAATTTGCCTCAACACCTTTGTCTTTCTTTTTCAACGATACTTGATAGAGGTCAACAAGATGTTCGGCCGTACGACAGGTACGAGACCAATGACCTTCCATACCACACCGGTAGCATTTTTCTTCATAAACTTTCTTTTCTCCATTTTTCTGATCGTAGTTATTTTCCCTCTTTTGGGAAACATTTTGTTGCTTGCCACGGTTAAAATTTTCACGGGACACAAATTTACTACGATCACGTTCACAGCCACGGCCACGTCCGCGGCCTCCTCCACGGCCACCTCTACGGCCACGTCCACGACCTCGACCAGAATTTTGAAATTGGATCGCATTCGCTTCAGGGAATGGACTTGCACCAGTTGGTCGGGACTCATGATTTTTCAGCAACAATTCATTATTTTGTTCAGCCAAGAGAAGACATGCAATAAGTTCAGAATATCTTTTAAACCCCTTCTCTCGATATTGCTGCTGCAGGAGCATGTTAGAGACATGAAAAGTAGAAAATATTTTCTCTAACATATCTTCATCAGTGACTTTTTCGCCACATAATGATAATTGAGAAGTGATTCTGAATATAGCTGAATTATATTTGTTGACAGATTTAAAATCTTGCAGCCGTAAATGAAGTCAATCATATCGGGCTTTTGGAAGAACGACCAACTTCAGGTGGTCGAATCTTTCTTTCAAATCTCGCCAAATGACAAGAGGATCTTTAACAGTAAGATATTCTGATTTTAATCCTTCATCTAAATGATGACGAAGAAAAATCATAGCTTTGGCACGGTCTTGGTTTGAGGATTCATTTTTTTCCACAATAGTATTACCAAGACCCATTGCCTCAAGATGGATTTCAACATCCAATACCCATGATAAATAATTTTTTCCAGAAATATCAAGAGGTACAAACTCTTGTTTTGTAAGATTAGCCATAAGAAATTGAAATAAGATTTTGACTTAGAAATTTACCTCAAAAGTCACTTGAAGAAATACGGGCAGAATTTCGGCAAAATCTTGTGCTTCACTTTTGTTCAAAATAGCGCCTCCGTTTCCACCTTTTTGCTCAAAAGTAGAGCTTTCGTGCTGATAACGTGTTATAAAACTAATAAAATGAAGATACTACAATAGGAATTGAAGAAGTACTAGAGAAAGGAGTAGAGAAAGGGAGAACGATATCCTTATATTTCAACAAGATACAAAAGTACCCACAAAAGGTCTCAATGTACCTCTATATATAGGCACTACAAGATTAAAGGTACATAAATCTTATTAATCATCCACTCCTACAATAATATGAAAAAACCTATGAAACGGTTTGTTCACTACATGAATGGATTTATGAATTGTAACTTATATACATAAGTAGCCATAAAATCATGAATTAATTCTCTTGGAAATACAAAGGGACATCCACATTTTTGTTATTTCATAACAGGGGGCTTGTTTTGTTTTGATTTTTTCCATCCCAAATTACATTACAATGAATTATACAGTATAACAAAAATCTAAGACTACATTGTACTTCCACCCAAAAGCTACTAACTCTCGCCATAATTAATATTTAAAGAGTAGTAGAGAATATAAAACCAGATTTGAAAAAAAAAAAGTAGCATTTAGTTTCAAGCATTCAACTTCAAGATTCTTTTAAGGCTCGTGCTTCCGTTAAAGTACGTAAGCAATGAGAACAGAAAAGAATTATTGAAAACTTTGTGGTGGGAAAAGTTAACTAATTAAATGGCATCCTTTTTATGATTTAAAGCATTACATAATTAAGATGCCGGAGTAATCTTTTGATTAATTAACCATCCTTTCTTTCAATAGTTATCGCGTTAAATATACTTCACTTAAGTTCTTGATTTTGCTATACTTTATTTTGATCAGAGTAGAATGATTTTTTCTCTTGTAAATGAAAATTTTTTAATATAAAATCTCCTATTACCTATCATCGAACTTTATCACCCAAGCCAACTCTCTCTATGATTTGATCCAACGTCAAGTTGACGAGAAAGTCATAAATGCACATGGCATTTATTCAACTTTGATTGAGGCATAGCCCAATTAAGAACAACAAAATTTTGGCCCAAAAAAAAAGAAAATGAAAGAAAGAAAGAACAACAATAAGTCATTTCATAAGTCAATATTATGTAGGTTGCCAATTTCGACTACAATAAAAAGCAACAATGAATATTATCTGGGTTGCCAATTTTGACGGCCATATCTTAAGCTTTTTTTTTTTTTGTTTTTGAGCAACCATATCTTAAGTTTGTTGATTGAGTTACTCATTTCATAGCTCCTTTTAGCCCATTTGCTAGAATTTTTACACACTGGAGAAGGCAGTAGTCGACCTCAATCTCAGGTACAAATGGTTTTCTGGGAGAGCAAAAATGAAAAAAAAAAAAAAAAAAAAAGGAACAGAACAAAACAATACTCAATATCAAACTTGCATCTCTTGAATTTTAAAGAACTTTTCTATTTCCTTTTTGCTGAATGAATTTTTACTCGGTTACTAGCAAAAATACATAACATACACAATATTGGAGGTTGCATAACCCACCATATTGCAGACATGTAAAGTCAGAGTTTAGATGAAACGTCAAATCAGTGTAAATAGTAGTTAAGACCAAAAGGTCTGGAAGTAATCCCACAGATGAAAATGTTCAAGAATAGACAACAGTCAGCGATTACAAATCCCAACTCCTAAGCAACTAGTGACTGTTTGAACCAAATGATGCAGCCAATTGATGGATCTATTCACAAGGGTTCATGTCGGATGCAACATTTTGTTTCTCCAACACTAAATGCAGTGTAAATTATATTACAATACGGCACAGAATTGTTTAAATTGGAGTAGAAAGTAAAGGGATTTCTGCTGCCTTCAGAAAAGAAAAAGGTATCATGAAACTGAATTGGAGGTACTTTTCAACAAGAATAAGCATAGCAAAGCCTCTATGAAATTTGGTAGGAAACAAATGAACATGCAACACATACTCCTTGCTGTTTTCTAAGCATTTACATGCATATTTCTTTCTGTTCTCTAGCTTTTCTGGAGGGCACCTATTTCCAGACAAAAGATGCATATTTCTGAGGAAAGGCATTCAAAATGAGAGTAAATTCAAGCAATATGTACAAAACGGGGAAAAAGAACTATTTTTCATTTCAATCCAAGTTCAGAAATGAACTGAACTTTCACCAGAAGATGATAATTCTTTGCTTGCTAAGCTATTCCTTGAGTTGATGGACTGAAGTGCTTTCAGGACTTCAGACATACGTGGCCGTTTCTCTGGCACCACACTGGTGCATTGCACAGCAATCTCCAGGACTGCCAGCATTGCTTGTTGGCAGTTTTGTGAAATCTTTGGGTCAAGAACTTGAACTGCCCCATTTTTTAAGTTGATCTTTCTTCTTACCCATTTCACAACATTGAGGGAGTCCATTGCTGCTGGTTGCTCTGCTTGACGGCCAGTAACAAGCTCTAAGAGGATGACACCAAAGCTGTATGCATCCGACTGTTCTGTAGCTTTTTTCGTATGACCATATTCTGCAAATAAAAATAGATACAAACGAGAAAATTGAATGGTTAACTTGTCTATTTATGTTTTGAAGTACCAACTAACAATAGATAAAGAAGAACAACAATTGTTATTCAAAACTAGCAGAAATTTTCAAAGTTAATTGAGAAGAAACTACATTTATGCGACTAGAGGGTGAAGTTACTATGATTCCAAATATTAACTAGAGATGTGCACTGACTAGCTTGTCAGTGGTGCACTATATCGAAGAACTCGAATGATTAAGGTTGCAGAAAGCTGAAAATTTGCTGAAGCTACTTAATCAAGAACTGATCAGATACTTGTCGTCCTATATAATTCTTCACTGGTAAGGTAGTATTTCAGTTCATAGAACAGACTACATGGCATTCATCTAACAATTGGAATTTAGACATCACCTCTATGTCAGATGTACCCGAGGGACAAACACTAGTAAATCATCAAGACAAGATTTTTCCAGGAACTTTTGTTCAAGTCACATGCTTGATAGCATGCCAGACACAACTTGCACCGTATAGAGATGAATCACATCAGCTGCAAACTCAAGTTCCTCAAACAGCATTTACAAGACAATTAATGCAAGTAGCACAATCAGAACAAATGGATCATAGTAAAGAGTTCTAGACCATTTCAGTACCTGGTGGAATGTAACAAGACTTCTCAGATCCCGATGCCAGGGATAGCTGATATGCAGTTTCACCAACAATTCTATCCAGAGCAAAATCTGTAAGCTTTGGTTCAAAATCAGCATCAAGAAGAATATTTCTTGACTTAATGTTCCTATGAAGCAAACGTGGAAGATAATCCTGGTGAAGATAAGCCAATCCTTGAGCAACTCCAATAGCTATCCTCAACCTAATGGTCCAAGGTAGCTGAGAGTCGGGTTTTCTGATTACATCACCAAGACTCCCTCTTGATATATTCTCATAAATCAACAAGAGGGAATCATCATTGTGGCAGAAGCCTAGAATTTTAACAATATTTCGGTGCCTAATCTTGGCCAAGGTTTTAACCTCTGTCTTCAAAGCTTTGAAAGATTGACTTCTGAAATTCTCCAATCTCTTTACAGCAACGCTCTCTCCATTCGGTAAGTTTACGATATAGACTTGTCCAAAAGCTCCACCATCTCCTCTAGCAGCCTTTCCATCCATAGCCATTATCAAATCATGCTCATTAATTCTCATAGGATAAAAGAAAACAGACTTCCAAGCATCCATTTGAGATTTTTGCTTGTGGGATTGTCTCAATACGTAGACTCCAAAAGCAACAATGGCTACCACAAAAACCAAAGCTATTGAGCTCAGTGCACCAGTTAATTTTGAAAGATTAGCTGTTCTGTGCCTAGACTGGTCACCTGAACAAGTATTTGGCAATCCTGGACCACATAGATCAGGATTTCCTTGCAAAAAGGAAGCAGGAAGGCCAGAAATCAGTGACAATGGAACTCTACCAGACAGCCTATTAAAGGACACATTGAAGAGAGCAAGCTTCAAGTTCTGAAGGCCTTCCGGAATTGGACCAGAAAGGTTATTGTGGGAAAGATCCAGGTAAGTCAACACAGGCAAGTCTGCTAGTGATTGTGGTATTTCACCAACAAGATTGTTATCAGCCAGAGATAGTGAGACTAACTTCCTACACTTCTTAACTTCAGGAAATCCCCCTGAAAGGTAATTATGGGAGAAATTCATGATGCTCATCACAGGTGAATCACAAAAGTTTGGAGGAAGCTCGCCATATAACTTATTCTGGGATGCAGAAAATCTATACAAGCTGCTTACCAGCCCAAGACCTTGAGGAACTTTACTTACAAAGCTATTATTATCAATTTGAACTTGCTCCAGCTGAGTAGCTTTTGATATTGAATCAGGTATCTCTCCAGAAAATCTATTGTTCTCAGCTCTAATGAGCTTTAATTTGGGCAAAGACCATAACCAA